CACACACACACACACACACACACACATATTTTACTTTAAAATGTTATAAAATCACTATAAAGCTAAATATAAAAACATCCATCCATACCAATATGAACCAGTCACACAGAGTGGAGAAACCACTGCTCAGACAGAAAGCTCTGAAGAAGAAAATGAGTACGTGTCCCTAACTGGAATCAATGCGGTCCAACACTAATATTAGCGTAGTCGCTGTGGATTCCCTGTCATCACATGATGAGAAAAATAAAAGAACAAAAACAAAACAACTGGAATTTAGTTCTGTAGCTGACAAGGTGTGGATTTTTTTGATTTAAACTATTAGAATCAGAATCACATGTCAGAACTGGCATAAAACTGATTTTATTTTGGATGAAAAGATCTGGAGAGAGCTCAGTTGGAGAAACTCACCAGTTAACTGGACTGGAGAGAGACTTGGTTTCTGACCAAGTGTAAATGGGATGAAGACACTGCCGTAGAGACTCTCCAGTCTGAACGGACTAAAAACGCTGCAGGAAAGACTCTTCGGTTAACCGGACCAGAGAGAGAGACCCAGTTTCTGACTGAGAATTTTAACAGGATGAAGATGCTACCGGTGCTAAAATATTATAATTTCTCCCTCTGCCCACCCACAGCACTTTTAGTGTCACAGTGAAGCATATAAACAACAGTGATAGCTGGAAAGATAGTTGTTTTCACTCAACGTTGAATCAGTATTATGTTGGGTGAAGAGTCGGAGGAGGAAAAACTTTTTTCACATTGACAGGGGAGCCGTAAGAATGAGTAAACACTGGTTGCTTGAAGAAATTTATTAGTCGTTTAGAAACTGATTTTAAAAGCACCACACCTTTTCATAGTTTTCCTTTTTAAGCTTTGATTCTTATCTATTGTTTGACTATTGTTATGTCTTGATTAAAATAACTTTAGTTACATGCTTGAAACAAAATGACAACACATAATAAAAACCAGAACCAGACAAGGCGCAGCCCGAAGACCCCTTATGATGTTTAAAAAATTTGGATCTGGCGTTCTCTCGCCCGGACGCGGGTTACCGGGGCCCCCCTCGGGAGCCAGGCCTTGAGGTGGGGCACGATGGCAAGCGCCTGGTGGCCGGGCTTTCACCCACGGAGCCCGGCCGGGCTCAGCCCAAAGAGGAGACGTGGTCCCCCTTCCAACGGGCTCACCACCTGTAGGAGGGGCCAAAGGGGTCGGTTGCAATGTGTAATGGGCGGCGGCAGAAGGAGGGGACCCTGGGGGTCTGATCCTCAGCTGCAGAAGCTGGCTCTTGGGACATGGAACGTCACCTCTCTGGTGGGGAAGGAACCGCTAATGTGCGAGGCTGTGAGGTTTCGGCT